CGGAAGATTAATCTTTGATCTTTCTCTTTGTTCGATATTTAAGATTGATGAGCTTGAGAAGCAGAAAGAGATCGATGATTGGCTTCCGATAACTTCATCGAGAAATGCGAAATGGTGGTACTCTACGTTTCACAATGTGACCGCTATGGTCGGGGCTGGTGTTCTTGGTCTTCCTTACTCCATGGCTCAACTCGGATGGTACATAATTTTGATTGTTTCCTAACACATTTTTTTCGCATTTGCGTTTGCGTTTTAGTCCAAGATTTTATCGGTTTTTCATCAACTCTTTTACAAATTGTAAACGCAAAATGGATATGTTTTTGAATACATTTTGTTCTACAACTATAAATTTCATTTTCACTTAAATATTTTGAAATAGTTTGAAAGAGTTTTATATACATTAGTTATCAAACCAATATAACATGTACTTCATGATGTATACATATGAAATTGGATTAGATATTCGAGATTTTTACTTAGTATATATACGGTAGGGGTCCGGGTGTGACAGTGTTGATACTATCATGGATAATAACACTCTACACGTTATGGCAAATGGTGGAAATGCATGAGATGGTTCCCGGAAAACGCTTTGACCGCTACCACGAACTTGGTCAGTTTGCGTTTGGCAAACGTCTTGGCCTCTATATCATCGTCCCTCAGCAAATCATTGTCGAAGTAAACACTTTTAATTCGATATAGTACACAACTTGAGATCAATCACATCATTTTTCTATATATGTCTTGATATTTGGTTACTCTTAACAAAATTAAGGTTGGAGTATGCATAGTTTATATGGTGACTGGAGGACAATCGTTGAAGAATTTTCATGAACTCGTCTGCTCAGATTGTTCTTCGATTAGACTTACTTTCTTCATAATGATATTTGCTTCTTCTCATTTCGTTTTGTCTCATCTCCCAAACTTCAATTCCATCTCCATCGTCTCTCTCGTTGCCGCGGTCATGTCTCTTAGGTATGTGTAATAACATGTTTCTAAAACGTGAAAATAGTATATATATATATACCATTCATATCATTTGTGAATTTTGTTTTAGTTACTCGACAATCGCTTGGACCGCTACAGCCGCTAAAGGTGTTCAAGAAAACGTTCAATATGGCTATAAATCGGGCACAACCGCATCCACGGTCTTAAGCTTCTTTACGGGACTAGGGGGAATTGCGTTTGCTTACGCAGGTCACAATGTGGTGCTTGAGATCCAAGCAACTATACCTTCTACTCCAAGTAACCCTTCTAAAGGTCCTATGTGGAAAGGAGTCATAGTGGCTTACGTGGTCGTGGCCTTGTGTTATTTCCCCGTTGCTTTGGTTGGTTACGGCGTTTTCGGTAACGCAGTCGCGGATAACGTTTTGATCTCTCTCAAAACGCCGGTTTGGGCCATTGCAATCGCTAACTTGTTCGTTGTTATGCATGTCATTGGGAGTTACCAGGTCAGTTCAATAACTTTACCCCGGTTCATAAAACTTCCATTGATTAATCAGACTGCAAATATCTATCGGTTTTCTGATATTTAACCGGTCATGTCTCTCGGTTTTTGGTAATCAATTTATACAAATATCGTAAATAGAATGTTTTGCATTTTAGGTATTTGCAATGCCGGTTTTCGACATGGTGGAGACATTTCTGGTTAAGACACTGAATTTCAAACCCTCCTCAATTCTTCGCTTCATCGTACGAAATGTTTATGTTGGTAAGTACATTGATCCAAGCTCAATAGAATTTGCATGATTTTTAACATATATTTGTAATTGCACAACATCAATTCAAGAATAATCACTGAATTAGAATGCTAGATTAGATATTTATTAATATTTGTAAATTTTATGAAATGTGAGGAAAGCTTTAACGATGTTTATCGCGATGATGATACCGTTCTTTGGCGGTCTACTCGCCTTCTTTGGAGGATTCGCGTTTGCTCCAACTACATATTTTGTAAGTGCTTATACATAAAATCTCTTCGAGTTCTATACAGATTAAATTTTCATTTATCAAACTAGATGAATAACTTTAATTTTTGTATGCTTTATAATTTATTTTGCAGCTTCCTTGCATAATGTGGTTGATAATCTATAAACCAAAAAGGTTTAGCTTGTCGTGGTGGACGAATTGGGTAAATGTCTCTTTTCTTTTGCCAAATTCGTTAATATTTTAGACATTTCAATTATCTCAAATTGATCTTCAACTTTGAAAACTTACTATAACTGGCCTTAGACTTCTGATTTCAACATAATTTTTTCCCTTAATTTTGTTCCAAAAAATAAAGTTTGTAACAGTTGAGATTTGGGTTCACAGGTATGCATAGTGCTTGGATTCATTTTGATGATCTTATCAACAATAGGAGGATTAAGGCAAATCATCCTTCAATCCAAAGATTACAGTCTCTTCTCTTGATTAATTCTCTCTACTTCACAATCTTATAAAATTTTCTTTTTCTCTTAATCAAATACAAATTTATCAAGAATTTATTCATTTTCCGAATGTCATATGGCACATGA